TTAAAATACAACTGTGGCGTGATTTGAATAAAATACTAGAGGCCAGCCAGCGCAGGCAGTGTATTTTTTTCTCCTCCTCCCGTTTATCTCACAGTGCTGCATGAGGCTACGTTAGTCTGGGCTGACTGAACAGATTAGAATAACCGAACATCCAATTCACAGTTTGTCTATCAACAGCTCAACAATTCAAAAGCTGCAGCGATTAGAAAATCGTTTAGTCCACACTGTGCCTGCCCAATTAACAGTAAAGCTCCCTTACTGTGCTGAAAAAGCTCAGGGAGAGGGCTCGAATAAATAAACATGATGAAGAGCAGCACTACAGTAATTACTCTAGATCATAGGCAGTGACATATATGACATGCACAGCACAGCTCACACACACACACACCCACACACCTATCTGACACATCCTCACATTACCAATGGCAACCTGAAGCAACCATCTTGTCTCCTAATCCTCACCTGGAATAAAACTGAGTGGATAAATGCAACTATTAGTCACTGATAAGGGTACTGACAACACGGCATTATACTTTTTAACCAGTTTAACTATTAATTAGTCCTTGGGTTATTTTGGCGAGTAATTGATCTGAATATAAATTGTCAGAAATTAGTGAGAAAGGCCTCGTAGCTTTCCAGAAGCCCAGTTGGCATCTTCAGATTTACAGTGTAAAAATCAATGAGTTGTTACCATAAAAGACACATTACCACCAATAGTCAACTCGAGATGCTGGCGCCTTTAAATATATTTTACAATCTGTAATAATTTAGAAATTGTTTAAGTTCCAGATTGCTTCAGTTTTAGTTGCACATATTTTGAACAATTTGCTCAAAGTAGCTTATGCTTTTGTAAAAATTCAAAGGGTGTTGTGATCTTTGCTGTGGTCTGGTGAGCAAATGGGGAATGTGATTGGTTGCAGACTTACAGCCACTCCCTATTTAAGAGGGCTTCTCTTTGGCATAAGCCATTAGCTTGGTGGTCTAGCACAGAAACACTGCAAATAAATTTGGTTTCCCAAGTTTAACGATTGTGTTCTGTTTGCAGTTTTGATTGAGTGTGTCCTTCTCCTGCTCACATATCTCATAAAATAAACATGCAAAATGTTGTTGTTTTTTTCTGTTTAAGTCAGTGCTGAAAACATCTACTGAAATTAAGGCTAGAATAATTATGTTGGAAACTTAAAGTCACCAGTATGCAGTATTAGCTGGATGTTCATAAAGACTGTGCAGGATCTTACTGTAGAGCACTCAGTGCTTTTAAGCTATCCACCTCTTATTCAATCAATATCCAGGAGTGTGTGTATGTGTGTTTGGGAGCTTTCATCTATGCTAACTGTTGATGTGAGCAAGTGAGGAGTGAGAGGCAGAGAGGGGAGGAAGG